TGGTTGTGGAGGGCACGAGAAGAGGTAGAGGGCGGCCTAAGAAGTATTGGGGATAGGTGATCAGGCAGGATATGGCGAGACTCCAGATTTTCGAGGACATGACACTAGATAGAAAGATGTGGAGGTCGAGTATTAGGGTTGTAGGTTAGGGGGTAGTTGAATCATGCCTTACTTCGTACCATTGTGGGACTAGCCATGTAGAATTTTTGTCTGAGATAGCTAGTGGCAATATTGTTGCTTACTATTTCACTTTTCAGTGCATGTCCTATTTACTAGCTATCGCTTTTTCTTTGCATCTTTCTTCTAGATTTCATGGTGTTCGTATTGTTCTTATGATTGTTGTGGTGATACTAATATTTACTAATATTGTCTCCCTTTGCTTTGCATCCTTCTTATGGATTTCATGGTGTTTCTATTTATCTTATGATTGTTGTTGTGATACTAATATTGTCTCTTTTTTGCCCTTTGTCCTTTTTTTTTTGAGTCGAAAGTCTTTCGAAAATAGATTCTCTACTCCTTCGGGTTAGGGGTAAGGTCTGCATACACATTACCCTCCCCAGACACCATTAGTAGAATTTTATTGGGTTGTTGTTGTTGTTGTTGAAATATTTGGGAGGGAATTTTTTTAAAAATGAAATATTTTCTCCCATTTTCTAAAAGGAAAAAGGACACTACAGGAAATATTTGCCCATTTTTTATCCCACCCTTCATCGACTTGCTGGTGCTGAAGAAATTTCCATTTTTACTGCCGCATCTTCCACCACCTCTGTTGCTGCTGTTATCGCTGCTTCCACATTAATGGTTGATTAAGTCTTGAAATGGTAACCTCCTGTCCCTTTATTTTCAGTTGTTTCCAGTTTAGGGTTTTGATTATTTGAATATTTCGATTAAGGCTTGAATTAGGGTTTTGGTTCTTCCCACCCACCTTGATAGTATCTCCATTGTCGTCCAATACCCAGAGACTTACTCGCAGAGCACTCATCCATGTAATTTGCTCTGTAATTGCTAATATTACCACTAATACTTCAATACCCACTTCCACTACTTTGATTTTGCTCACTCATTTTCTTCCTCTTGCAGTTTGTTCTCTACCTTAGTGAGTTTTTCTTTTTCTTTGCCAAAAGTTAAGGCTTGCTGTTGCAAGCTCACAATTTTTCTCCAGATTTTTAGAATCATTCAGAACTCTGTTCTCCATATCATGCTTGTGACTGTAGGAGTTAGACTATTTAAGTAGGTTGCTAATTTGTTTTCGTCTCTAAGTCTTTGGTCATATTTTTGAGAATCTAGAGACGTTCTTTGGTGTTTAAATACTGACATAGATAAATTATCAATAAATTATTTGTTCTAATGTTGGTTATTCTAGATAGAAAGAATCTTTTTGTTGCTATTGTTCAAGGATTTGCCAGTGGTGTGTGCTTAGAATAGGCCGTGGTTTGTTATTTTCGTAAATTGTACTGTTCAACTTCATGGTTTTACACTTTTGTAGCCTTCAGTTTTTAAGCTGACATGTTTATATCATTGGTTTATTCTAGTGCTGCAGTGCTCGAATTGCATCATGGAGAGCTGAACTAGGTCTACCTGAACTGAAGGTTGGAATTATTTAGTTGCGGAGGTAAAAATGTCTTGCTTCTTTAAATTGTTGTTGCTTGACCGAGATTTTGCTTCATCCCCAATTCTTACATAGCAAATTCAATGGGTCGAAGCCGATTTAGTTCTGTTGAAATTGGCAAACAAGATAGCCCATTCTTACATAGCTTCTTCCAGTAATATTTATTAATGTTTGCACTGATTGACATTTTTTCGTAGTTAAAAGATTATCTAAATGCAAGAAGAATCGGGTGTTGTATTTTTTCTTTTCCACCTGTATTTGTACTTAAAACTAGTTATTACCATGTGACAATCATCCAAGATCAATACTTCTGATGAAGGAAGGTGTTGGGTATTATCTATAATGTGGTATCTTCTTAAGACCTCTTAGTAATTTCTTCTATCTGGGCATTACATATTGCAAAAGGACGTAAAACTCGTACTAATAGACTTCAAAGGATAGATAAAATTGAACTTATACATGAGTCATCTTCTATCCTAGAAACTACTAGACAACAGGTTTTGAAGACTTCTCCAGGCATTGATCACATTATACATATACAGCCTGCCTCGATGTTATTGAAGAGAGCATTTCTGGAGGATATACTGGAGTTTTGAAGGTGAATTTTATATAAAGCACACCATAAAGTTTTGTCTTAATTAGCATGCAAAAACGTTTAGTCAAATCTGCAGGTGCAAGTGCAGGTTTATGTATTTGCTCATGCTTAATCATTTTTATTGTCCTTTACTTAGCAGATCACAAGAAATCAATTGCACCATTATACATAATATTTTATTGTCTTTTAGAATTTTTGAGTAGACATTTCAACTAATTAGTGCAAGCTCAGTTATTATACCTTGACAATCTAAGTTCTGGTCAAACAAAGGAAGTAGAAATGGAGCGGAAGGGGTATGCTGTTGTCTTATCGATACAAATTTGTTTCCAGCTGTCTTTTACAGGATTGCATAGTAGTTTCACTTGGATTTGCTACAGAGGTCCTAGCATTTTCATCTCTACTGTTTTCTTTGTGGTGGTTTTGATTGTCTTTCGAATATTTATTTATAAGATTTTCCTGTCTAGTTTATTTTGTCAGTTATAGAGTTACTGTCTTGTGGCTATTTGTAGGAGGACAAGGTTTTCAGAGAATTAGTAATCTCAAAATTGGCTAGAGCTCTGCTCCATATGGATTTTGATGAACGTACAACATCAAAGGTACAATTGATAACCCAAACATATATATGTCATGAGATTCACAATTATATGTTAGAAAGGCATAATTTCCTTGTGCATCAAAATACGAAACCAATATTAAAGATTTTAAAGTACTTAAATGACAGGGACAAAGTTCTTAATATATATTTTAATTATGTGATTAGGTATTGAGATGTCATGTAAATGTGTTAGCCTATGCCAACATTGTTTTCATTTAAAGATGAAGCTAATATTCTCTTTGGTACTGCGAGATATGTTATGGAATTTTAGTACACTATTCTATTTGGAGGTGCTTTTGAACAAGCTTTTAATGTTGAACTATTGTAAAATTGATTAGGTTGGGTTGGTAGAAACAAAGAGTAAGTTGAAACTTGTAAATATTAATGATAGAATAATTGATTGATTCTTTTATCCATTACATATTGCATGATACATAGTTCGCGAGTTGTATCTTGTTTTACATTCTCATTGAAGATATGAAAGTTTATGTATATGTAATTTACTCTTAGATCAGATTATCATCAATTTTGGATTATAAAGTCGTACTCGTCAAACCCATTATTTTCTTGGATCTTTCTTTATCTATAATAGCATCGTCCTATCAGCTGTTAATTTGGATATGTCTTTCTATATTGGACATGATCGAGTGAATGTTACTTGTGTTCCGGTAATGGACACAACTGATTGAAATTTGAAAGTATCTTCTTTTTTCCTTCTATTTTCTGATATGTATTTTTCACAGAAGTACAAAAGAAAGTGTTGATGATAATGCAAAATACAAAACAAAGTGTTGATGCCAACACACAAAAAAAACTACTAATGAGAAAACTGATAAATATTGAGAAGTATTATAGTGTACCCCCACTAGTTTAGGTTAGGCTCAAGTCTTATACTTATAACAGACATTTGTTCTTAGAATAGTGCTTGGTATTTAAATTTTCAAGGGGCGACTCTGTTACATTGCTCTGAGTTTGCACTTGCATACTATTGATTTCTATCTAATTACTAATTTTATTTTAAATGTGCAGGAAAGTCTTGGTGAGCAGTTGGAAATGGTGGCCAAACGAAAATTTGATCTAATGGAACGTAATCATCAAGACTTTGGACAATTACGATTTTTGTTATTCCTGATACTATAATAATACATTTGCTTTTTATAAAGTTAATTAATTGTTAGCATGCCCCTTGAGACAGTTTTCTTTATTCGTTGATGTATTACACGAGGTTTACTCCTTGTTTGAAGTTCATTGCAAGTTTATGCATTTGAATTATTCTTTTATTATCTACTAGTTCATTGGGTGCTTGAGGTCTTCATACTTAAATTTGATTAGAGAATATGTACAAAATATAATGCACTGACCGCAAAAGTATGGCAATAGGGATTAGCAAAATTTGTGGCCTATATGGTAGCAAAACCTGTACTTTACAAGTGCTGCTTTTTGGAGCCACGCTTGACAAGTGTAGCCTAAAGAGTAACATTGGTTACGCTTTTAATGGGTTGTTGTAGTACCTAAATGTGTTGCCATAGAGGGTATTACAAGTGTGGCGTTTGTTACATTTTAGGTCACGTTTTAAAGTGTTGCCTTAGGATAAAGGTTACGCTCGTTTAGGCTGCTCCTCAAAAAACGTTGCCTTAGGTCGAAAAGTATGACCTTTTATTAAAGATCATAGTTTATAATAGTTAAGGCCACACTTTTTAGGTGTGGTTAAAGGCCTAATATATTGTAGTGACAATTATATATATATAT